CTTCTGGGACTTGATCCCAGAAGGTTTTGAACCTTCTGGGACTTGAACCTTGAAAACCTTCTTCCAAGTGTTGGCTACATATTACGTGTTTTTTTTCTCTGGCCAGAATTTCGATGGCAAACCTTCCCTCTTCAAGTTGACAATCCAACAACGAACCTGTCCGCGGAGGATCAGGAATCAGAAAGGTGAAATAACAATTTTTTTTCCACTTTCACCTCATGTATTACAACATCCAACTGCCATGAACGTGGGCATTGTCAGTTTAACTATAGTTCTACTGCAGATGTGTCTAGTAGCACCCATCGATTTTGCTTGTAAAACAGGGAGAATGGCGCTAGGCTTACTGCACCGTGACGTCACTGCTACAAGATGTCAGGATTGAGGTACTATATTTGGGCAAAAATGGCCGCTCCCAGTGATCACGACAAAAAATATTATTACTTCATTTTTTTAACTGATTAAGGCTAAATTCATTAAATCACACGAAAATATTAGTTCTAGTTATAGATAATAATCCATTGATTATTCTTTGCTGACTGGAACTTCCCATTAATGTTTCAACAGGTTAGGGATGCAATACCATGTCAGTGCATGTTAAAAAAAAAAGGCCTGAATAACATACAGTACTATCATGACAGAAAAAAAGAGTTTTTAGCATTCAAAGAAAATAGCCTCCTGTCTAAGAGGTAGTTCTTGATATCTAACATCTTTAAAAGAGTATCAAAAAACATTGGTTGGGTCTGTAAAACCTGGCTTAAACTTAAGCAAGTGTCCTGTCTTCTTAAATTATACAGATAAAGAAATATAAGATGAAGGAATAAATAAGGACACCCTTATATTAGTTCACATTAGTTGAAGAATAAAATCACTCATAGGAAAATCAGATCTCACATCCATGATATAAGCCTTGTGTTTGATTCTTTTTGTCCCCCTCCCAATCATTATGTCTTGTGTTCTCCAGGCTGTTGGTCTAAAAGTTAACACCATGGAAAGATCAGAGAGGTGTGTGAGGTCTTCAAAAATAAGATTGCTACATCCTGTGAGTCCAAATGTAGATTTAAAGAGTGCTCAAAAGGACTTAAAGTCGACTTTACAAGTGTGAGTGAAAGATATACAGAAAGCTATGTTAAAAAAAAGCCTGTTTCCAGAGATTAAATACAAAATTATGAAGAATGTGTAAAAATACTGTTCACAACAAAGAGATGGAGAAATGGACTTACATACACATAGATGCAGGAATGAATGGGCACAGAGCGAATGAAAAACAGATACACAAAAGGAAAGATTGATAGAAAGATAAAGGAATGAACATAGAAGCAGTCAGACAAAAAGAAAGAGAAATGTACAAAAGGACAGAGACAGACTGATGCAGGAATGAATGGACAGAGAAACAGGCAAACACTGCCACAGACCCAAAGACAGAAACTGCACTACAAGCGATTAAATACATTTTTGATGAATGCAGGCAGCTACAGCCTATTTTTGTGGCTCAACGTCTTGACATACAAGATAGATGAGTTACAATAAAACAGCAATTTGTCCTCCCAGGCTGTAGTAGAAACGAATTTGCCGTGTAGATCATTCCAAGAGCAAATTGTGATTGCATAATGTTATTGCCTGTACTGTACACATATTCTGCAGCTTCGCTGTCCCCTGGTTGCACAAATAGAACATGTTTGTTTATTATATATAGAGATATTTAAATATATATATATATATATATATATATATATATATATATATATATATATAGATAGATAGATAGATACAGATATTTCTATACCCACACACTTAAATGAAAGTTCTAAATCACTCTCACCACATTATATTTTGAAGTAGCACACAATAGTCTCACCTCCAATATAATAGTGTTATATAACAAAAAGAGGCATCAGAGCCATAGAAGCTCACAACTTCAGAGGGAATATGATACACTACATTAGATGCTGTTTTAGGAAGTCTGATGGTTAAATGATCATTTTCAGACATGGATAAATCAAAAATATAACTGAACTGTACTCCCAGGATCACATACTTTATTACGTATTTGCACATACAAGTTTATAGAGTATAACAAAGCTCAAGCCTCAGGAGCATCTCTGTTGTTATTTCTAATAACCAACTAATATCTATTACTTTAATATTGAAAGAGGAGATTAAAGACCCTGAGACCAGCTTAGCAACATTGACCAGAATTTCTTAATTTTATCTGCTTTATTTGACCTTAACCAGGATTCTCGGCAGGAGTTTTTTGTAATATGTGCATTATAAGCAACTCTTACCATGTACTTGTAATAGTAATCCTCATCTGCTTATCCGGAACAAGGTCACAAAGGCAGCAGTCTCAGCAAAGACTCTCAGTCTTCCCAGACACCTACGCCAGCTCTGTTGAGGGAAATCCCAGGCATTCCAGGGCCAGCCAAGAGACATAGTCCCTCCGTCCCCTTCTTAACATGGTGGAGGGTTTTAAGTGCTTGGATGATCCCAGAAGCTAGGTTATCAGGAGCTAAAAAGGACCTGGAAGGCTCTCTCAGGCTAAACAGGCTGTGGGCAAAGAGCAATTTCAAAATCCCTTATGATGATCATAAAATCAAGGCATTAGATGTCGCCATGTACAGCGGAGCAGGGACCTGTTCCTGGAGCTGGACGGGGGTTAGCCGACGAGAAACTGGTGGTATGGTTCCTCCTCCTAGGTCCCAGCCAAGCCTTGATAGAGTGATGCAAGGCAATTTCCCCAGTGGGCCCATCAACTCCAGGGGTAACCATAAGGGATTGTTGCAAAGAGGATTGGGCAGCAGTGGCGGATGTGACCTAATCCACAGAGGCTAAGCATTTCTTTCCAGTGTTTTATTAACTCTTTTATCACCTACAGTAGTAGCCACTCAAAATTTCCCCACTTTTCTTGATGGGCCCTGGCTGGTCCCCTACAATTCCTTTTTAAAAATCAATCTTTGTACTAAAATATTCTTTCTGTCATGATTTGTGGACATTAAGATGTAAAAAGAAGTGTCATCTCCTGGTCAGACCCTATAATTCAGTGAAAGGGTAGAGTCAGAGTAAAAAAAATATGCAACAGGGAGTCCCTGTATTGGCTGGAAGTGGGAGAGGATTTATTTATTTGTTTGTACAATGTCCTGTCTGGCAATGTGGCAGTACGAATAATTGTCTTGATGCCAAAAGGGGCCCAACAGATTTTACTTTCACAAGTGGAGCAGTACGGCTATCGTCATAGTGTTCTACTTGATGTATACATGTCAATAGCTTTATTATAATTATGCAGTGAGTATTACAGATTATATGGACATTGCAATGTCAGTAGAACAGGAAACAAAAAACAGAAAAAAGGACAAAAGATGACAGAAAGAGGAGATAAAAGGGAGACAACGCTAAAACGTCTTCTTTGGAGAGGATTTTGCTGGGAGTTAGAGGGAAATCAGTGGCCATTTGGCTGGTGTTTGACTGGGAAGGGCCATTTTGAATGGCTGCTACTGTAATCTACTTCATAACAAAGTAGGTTTCCAGAAATCAGTTAGCATGGGTATGGACACAGTTAGGTACAACAGCAACCTTATATTGAAAAACAATACCAAACCAAGCCAGTGATCTTTCTTTATTTCATAGTTCCCTGATGCTTCTAACTAGCACAGACTCTGATGCTGCAAGCACTTCAGTCATTGCAGTCCTATAGTGTCCACAAAATAATGACATGGTAAGAAACCCTGCTGGACTAAATCTACCCTTATAAATGTGTACTAGAGAAATCCTAAATGCAAATAATTTTGAAAAAGGGCAAAACTATCTTTTTGCTACTTAACAAACATTGGATGGATGGTCAGTGTAAATTCCCTGGATCATCTAAACCATTGGTAAAACCAGATGGATATTAGATTTGGGAGAAATCCACTAAATAAAGAGTATACTTAAATTGATAGTGAGCTACATATGTCTATATTTTTAGTTATTTAATAACTAAAATATAAAATATTAAATGAGTGAGAGAGAGAAGTTTCTATTTTAAATGTCTATATTATTTTTAGTGTAGATATGTGTTCTAAAAGTTTCAAGAAGAATTGTTAATGTCAGAGAAAAAAGTTTTATGGATGTTTCAAAAAATCTTCAGCCTAGCACGACTTTAGTCAGACTAAAAATTCTCTTCCTTTAGATTTTGATGTTGTTCATATTACTGCTGCAGTACACAGACAGAGAAAGTATGTTTAAGCATTTTAAAATAGTCCAGGGTAGGGATGGTAAAGATTAGTCAACAATATGAGGTCATACTCACATTTTGTTAAAAAAAATGAAAAATAAAAAAAATTTTTTAATCAACTCATTAATAATGGCCCCAATATATTTTAATTATTCTTGCTGATGACTAAATGAGGATTGATTAGCAGTTGTATTCAGATCGGGCTCATTATTTATATGCTAATATGCAAATTTGACAAACTTCACTATAAAGTGTGATGACTTGAATATAATAATAGCTTACTATGAAGTATTGACATGTTTGTTGAAGAACAAAGAGTTTTGATAATTAAGTGTAAGAAGCATTGAGCGACATGTTTACAATCTTTGCTAAGATTTTCCTCATATATTGTAAAATATGGAAAAAGTTTATACAATTTTGTGTTTTTTGTAATAATGATTTTGTGACATAAATCAATGGTTCAGATTTTTGAATAGGATGCTAAGGGGCCTGATTCACTTAAATGTGTTAAGTATTAGTGATACATTATTTGGCTAATATAGAAAAGACATTAATGGGTCTAATAGTCAATAAAAAATACATCACAAAAAAGCAAAAAAACATTGATGCAGATGTGTAACAAACTGAATTTAGCAATATGGTAATATTCCCTTTATACTGGTAATACCCCCCTCCCATACACACACACACACACACACACACACACACCCCACCCCCTGTAAAAAAAATTCAGTCCTTAAATATCTTTCTGTATTATATTTTTTATAGAAAATCTTTTTAAAAAAGAGCAATTTACAGTTATCTTACAGTTCGAATGTCCTCTGGCTTTTTTTTTTTTTTTTTGGAACATGACTCATTTTGTTCTTTTGCAGCACGAGGTGTCACAGAATATGCATTGCAACAACAAATAGAAGTCACTACAGCTCATGAAAAGGAGTTCCTAAAAAATACGGAGACTTCATACAAAAAAATAAAAATAAAAAACAGAAAAGAAATACATGCATACATACAACACAATGCCATGCGAGCACAGTTCATTTTTGGGAAGTAAATTATTTAAGATTTGCATTTCAGTACCATTAATCAAACATTTCATGCCATCCCGCTATACATACATGACATGGGTTTTACAGTAAGTGACATTCACTGTATTTGCTGTGGCAAACGGCTACAGAAAGGCCTAATTCCTTTGCAGGACTATAACTGGTTGATGATAGTTACACCTTCAGCGAGAGGTTCACACCAACAGTTACTTTCTAACCCCACTAACACAGTGTTCATTCATAGCAGACTATAATTCTTTTTTTTTCAGTTTTTGTCTGGGATTTTTTTAAATCAAGTCAAAGTACACATAACAGTGGGCTCAGTGACATTCGGATAATTAGTAACTAATTACACAAATTTTGCTATTCTTTGTGAAACTACCTATTTATTTTTACCATGAAATTTGCTTCAGCATGAAGATAGTGACCACAGGTCAGACTGTGGTATTAGTTGAGGTCTTTGAGAAACAAGACCATTTTTTTTTTACATCATAGCCAACCATGTGCAACCCCAGCAGTTCTCAAATGAGATATTGACTGCTCTGTAATCAGCTATACCTGCACACATATGGGATCCTTTGATTACATACTACCAGCTAAGACTTTCCCGCCAGAGGTCATTGTGAGATGGGTATCTGTCTGGGCTGGTAACCTTGACTGTGTGTGTTCTGAAAGTTCAACAGAGATACTTATTGAGCTATGGTAGATAAATGTAAAGCTATTTACCCGCTTAGGTGATAGTGTCCATTTTAGACAGCTTTGAATATGAGGTTAACCTCATCAGAATTTATGGTGTACTATTTAATCAATTGTGACTCAGTTGCTGCTAGCGATTTCACTATTAAGAATACCATTGTTTTGAAGAAGTCACTTTTAGATAAATACTTAAACACTAACATGTTTTCAAGATACTACATGATCAAATACATTGAGGGCAAAAACCAGCTCCTCCCATTGGAATTTTCATAAAATTGCTTCTTTATGGAGCTAAACCAGTAACACTTTGCATTTTCGTAGGAGAAACAGAGACTTGCTATGTAAAATAAAGTTGTGGTGCAGCTTGTTTTTCAAAGAGAGATGGTTTCAGGGTCACTCCAGTCTCCTCAGTTACAATGTCAATATAAGCTGACACTATTTTGGCATTGGGGAAGGGTTAAACCAAAGGCTCCTTCAGGGGCCTCCTGTTTTTTCAGCACTCCTTTTCATTTACAAGATACCTGCAGTGAAATTTTGAAAGCCTGTGGATCACCTCAACCAAGGGGAATATTTTAAATAGTATCTTTGTTGGCTGTATAAACTGTTGCCACTACTATTTCATAGCTCAGTTCAACTACCAGCTAAAGTAGTGTTAAAAGTTCTCAAGACTACCGTTTTGTGTAATTAAGCACAAAAGGAACCTGGAGTTTGTTTGCTCCTGTCTCCCTAAGAGTTAGAAGCAAGTGTCCTTGTTGAAGAGCATGGGCTTATGAATGCAATAATAAGAAATGCTGTAACTCAGCCATATCTTGGTGGGAAATTACTGGAACACTTGTCGGTTCATACAGCTATTGATGATAAATATAATACCCTTACTTGTGGTTAGGCAACAGTGCTTTGATAGAAGCCTACTTAAGTTCAATGCAGGTAGATGACAAAAAATTTGGGAAAAACTGAAGGCCCCTTAGAGAGCCTTCAGTTTAGAGCCACTGCCAACACCAAAACAGTGCCAGGTTGTACTGACATAACTAAAAGAACTCTGCAGTGACAATAAAAGAAATCTCTCATTGGAAAAAAATACATCAAAACATTGTAAGTTTGTTTCCTTTCTCTGTAGCAATCTTTGCTTTTTTCATGTCAATGTTTACAATATTTGACTTTTCAGTGTTTAGTTTTCAATGCCAATTCTTATTTTCATAGCAGGGCAAGCTGTCATTGGTTTTAAAAACAGCTTGGACACATTTCCAATTGTAAACCAAGGGGGAAATCAATCAATCAATCAAAATTAAAATTAAACAAAGATTATCAAATGGTACAAGAGCTATCATCTTTGTAACTCCTCTACTGATACACACATTTGTAAATGAGCTAATTCGGTAAGAATACACCAAACATGTGTAGTATCATTGAACTCTTATACACTGCTCAAAAAATAAAGTCAACACTCAATCTTCATTTCACTTTAATCTGAATGAATGAAATATTTTCATTGAATACTTTGTTCTGTGCTGAAAATAAAATCACCCAAAATTCACGAATGGAAATCAAATGTTTTAACTAGTGGAAGCCTGGATTTGGAGTCATACAAAAAATTGGAAAAACACAATTTTAATTGTGATGTAATGTCCTTAAAACAATTCAAAATTAGGCTCACTATTGTAGGTGGCCTGGGCATGCTCCTCAGGAGGTGGCCGATGGTCTCCTGAGGGAGCTCCTCCCAGACCTGAACTAAAGCATCCGCTAACTCCTGGACACTGTAGTGGATGGATCAAGACATGATGTTTCAGATGTGCTCATTTGAATTAATGTCTGAGAAACGGGTGGGACAGTCCATAGCTTCAATGCCTTCATCTGGTAGGAACTACTGACACACTCCAGCCACATGAGGTCTAGAATGGTCCTGCATTAAGAGGAACCCAGGGTTAAACTCACCAGAATGTAATCTTGCAAGGGTATGGGGATCTCACTTGATATCTAATGGAAGTCATGCTACCTCTGGCGAGCACATGGGAGCACTGTGTGGCACTCCAAAGAAATGCCATCCCAAAACACATTTAATCGCTCACTGCCAAACTGGTCATACTCAAGGATGTTGTAGACAGTGGATCACTCTCCATGGTGTCTCCAGATTCTGTCAAGTTTGTCAAATAGTGTATCAAATAGCTTAGTTTGAACTTGCTTTCATCTGCAAAGAGCACAGGGCACCAGTGGCAAATTTTCCAATTCTGGTGTTCTCTGGCAATTGCCAAGCATCCTGGATGGTGTTAAGCTGTGAGCACAAACCCATCTGTGGACGTCGGGCCCTAATACCATCCCCATGGAATCGGTTTCTAACTGTTATGCAGACACATGTACATTTGTGGCCTGTTGGAAGTCATTTGCAGGGCTCTAGCAGTGCTCCGCCTGTTTCTCCTTGCATAAAGAGACAGCAAACCTTCTTGCCACAGCTCGCATTGATGTGCTATCCTGGATGAGATGCACTAATTAACCCTTTTTGATTTCACATTTAGAAAAAAAAAATGTATTACCTCTGCATCTAATCCTTCGGGGAGTATTGAACTACCATTGAGTGGTGCCCAGGTTCTTGTTAAAAAACAAGAGATGCAGTTTGTGGGAGTGGGGCTGGAATTTAGAACCTCAGGATTCCAAGCTCTATGCCCTGACCGCTAGGCCAACACTCCCCTCCCACTACCTGAGCCACTTGTATAGGTTGTAGAGTCCGTCTCATGCTACCACGAGTTTGACAACAAAACCAATATTCTAAAGTGACCAAAACATCAGCCAGTAATCATAGGTACTGAGAAGTGGTCTGTGATCCCCACCTCCAGAACCTCTCCTTCAATGAGTGTGTCTTGCTAATTGCCAATGATTTCCACCTGTTGTCTATTCAATTTACACAACATGTGAAATTGATTGTCAATCAGTGCTGCTTCCTAAGTGGACAGCTTGGGTTCCCAGAAGTTTGATTTGATTGACTTTATATTGCATTGTTTACAAGTTCCCTCTATTTTTTTGAGCAGTGTATTTTGCTTTGTGAAAATCTGAACAGTTAACGTTATGTTAGCTCAAGCTGCTGCAGTACTTTTCTAGTGAGTTCTGGGTATGCATTTTGTTAGGGGGAAAAAAAGTTAATTTGGTTGACTAAAACATTTTTAACAATGAAAAGCACACAGAAACACCACCAATTGCTCACTTCCTGGACAATAAGCTTAACAGCTACAGAAATTTAGCAGACGCTTTTTCTTACTCTTTTGATTATGCTTTAAACGCAACCTAGTGATTGTTTAAGGATTAATATAAGTGTAATATTTACTACTGTGTGTTACTCTAACAGCAGCGGTGGGAATAAGTTTAGAATTTGTTTCAATAAAAGCAGGTCATATTAAACATTGCTTTATAATAATATAATTGAAAATATTAGCTAAACTATTAACTTTTGACATGATAGATTTGCTATTATAATGTCAGCTTTAAGCCATTTTTTTCAATTTACTGAGCGTCCATAAACGAAAACCTGATAAAAAATGTCTAAAACCAGCCCAACATCTGAAAATAAAATTCTGAACAAAAGAATATATTGTGTATTAATAAAAATCGACAACTTTCAAAAAACTACTCGTCTCACTAAGACATTCAGAGGGAACAACTCACTAAAAAAAATAAGATTTTGTCATTTAAAAATAATTTTTTTACGCTTTAATTATGGGATGTAGATTCTGAGATTTCACATAAACACTGTTTTTTCGTTCAGACTACATCGTGATAAATATTTATTGGTCTCCTTTCCTGTTGTGAAACCTGAATCATCTTCATTTTCAATATACACTGAGTTCAACCATGAAGGAGCTCTGATTTATGGTTGCTCTATATGAATATTAAAACTAGTGGTGGGCCATTATCGGCGTTAGCGCAGCGCGTTAACTCCACTCTTATCGGGCAATCAAAAAAATATTGCCGTTAATCTATTCTCACAGTTGTGTTGGGAGCTGGGTCTATACTAATGATGACTTTCAACATGATAGTTAAGCGCGGATATATATCTAGGGGCGAAAACAGATCAGTGTAGCCATACTGTGAAATTACCACATCGAACGTAACGTGCTGACATGGATCCAGCTATACAGACGCCGGTGTTACCTCCCTTCTCGCACACTCATGAGAAAACAGATTGAATTATGAAGGAATCTTATGCATGTATGCCCTAAAATTGAGAGTTTTGGTGAACAGATGAATTTGAATAAATTCACTTGTATGGAGACACGTTTTAGTCGATGTGCTACAGTCAGTGTCTGATGAATATATATACTCTGCTCATTGGATGGTTAGTCTCGGTTTTGCTATTAACAACATTCTTTATGATTTCTGATAAAAACATTAAGAATATCTTTAAAAGTTCTCTTTTGCATTCATATTTCAAACCATTTTCTCATCAATCTGTGAGAGTTCAGGGCGATGTGCGCTCCCCAGACAGGGGAGGTATTTCTGGGCATATATCTATCCACCAGAACTAAATTTTAGGGCATGCATACATCAGAATTTTGAAAAAAATTAAGAATATGTTTAAGAGTTCCCTTTTTGTTTATATGTCAATCCATTTTCTCATCAATGTGCAAGACTCTGAGGAGATGCACACTCCTGCGACAGGGGAAGTATTTCTGGGCATTTATCTATCCACCAAAATTCAATTTTAGGGCATCCATGTATAAGAAATATGAAGAAAATTTCAAAATGGTCATGATACATTTTTAAAAACCTTGGGATCTTCACATCTTCCAAAGTCGGATTTTTGGAGACACTATATTTTTAAAGAGGGACATCTATAATTGGAAGTGGGACACCCTGGAAGTGGTACAAAAAAGTATTTATAACTTTGCCAAAATCTTAAGTAAGAAGACAATATTACATGTGATTTTGCAAACAAAAAAAGTAAACTTGTTATTTAAAATTCTGGAGGTAGCACACACGTATTATGAATGCCTTTGGCGGAATTCCAATGAGTGATTTTAATCAGGATTAATTCCAAGATTAGAGTAAGATTAATCTAGATTTAGAAAAATTAATCTCTGCCCACCGCTAATTATAAAACCCAGAGTTACTTTGTTTTAATAGAAAACTAGAGAACAAAAGCATCTGTACACTATTTGGCACTATTAATAGGAACTGAACCTGACAATGACCTTGTAAGGGCACCAAAAGACAATCATGTACTAAGTGAGAATTTCTTTAATGATTGATCAGTTATAGACTTCAGCATAATAAGTTGACATTTTGGTTTAACTTCTACAATTCAGAGCAGTATAGATATGCTGCTAGAATGAGGCTTACTGCCTGTGAAATGTTGCAGCACAACGTTCATTCCCCACGAGATCTTACTCTCTGAAGCTCAATGTAGCATTATCGGTCCCTGCTTAAGCATTTTCACGAACTGGAACTAATAGAAATGCTGTCTTCTGTTTTTGCTATACCTTGACAATTCTACCATCACAATTCATTGTGCAAGACAGTTCTTGGTAATGGGCACAGTGTAAGCCATCTGCTAGGTTCAGCTGTTGAGCTATTTTGGATGCTACAGAAAGCATGAAGTAGGCTTTCAGGCCTACTGTATTTTTTTTCTCTCATCATTTGGTTTCATCTCCTTTAGCTGATACTGCGGTGGCAAAAGTAAGGTGCATGTAGACTCATCATTGCCTGTTTACTTCTGCTCACTTAATCCCTCTTTCTGCCCGTTAAAGGGATCCACGACTAGGAGAACATGTTGGCATAAATATGTTGTAACTTTCCAATTAACTTAAAAAATATCCACTTGCAATATGTATAATTTCATATTTACTTCCAAAATTATATATCCTCAGTTATATTTTTTACCCATGGAGGTCGCTATTTTTTCACCTTTGCAATGCATGCAATTGATGACACAGTCAGGCCTAAATGGACTGGAACCTACAGAGTAAATACAGGATAGCTAACTTTACCACAGTTGTTGTTTATTGTAAAGCATTTCACTTGTGTAAATTTAGACAATACAACACTGCCTCAAGGTATTCATGAACCATTATACATGAGATATCTGTTGAAACAGACCATTGATAAAAGACTGTAATCTACTGTTTACTATATAAGCTATAGCTAACACCATTAGCGGGAGCTAGCGTGAATCATAATCAAATTGAAAGATAATGAACGGCAATTTAGAATGACAGTGAAGCATCTTTTAGTCCTTGAATCACATCATATATCCGAGAAAATGTTTTGATAACTGGTGCTTCTTTTAGCATAGCTCTCTATCTGGATTAGCAATAGTGTTGCATCAATGCCATTTTTTTTGGCCCTGATACCAATACCTGGTTGTGCAGATTGGCCCATACCGATACCATGTTTGAAGTTGATGTGTGTGTTTATAAAAAGAACTGCATACTCCTTGGATGTAAAATAATTGCCATCATGGCTTTATCAAGCTGCTGCCTACATTTGTTAAGCAGGAAAAAGACTAATACAAAGTGAATCCAGAAGAACTTTTTATTGCCTACCTGGAATTTATGACAATAGTTGAATAAACTTTTGGCTCTCAAAATGGTATCAGTGCCAATACCGATACCACAATTTTAGTGCTGGATTGGAGCCCTGCCCTATACTGCTATCAGTATTGGTGCAACACTAGTTAGCATCTCTGAGCAGGAACCTCACAAATACCATCTTCTTTGGCCAATTCTCCCATCTTCCTCTGTTTCGTCCTCACCATCTTCATTACCTCTTGTGATTTTTATATCGACATAAATTTTCATGCGCTCGATTTCAACCTGAAGAAGTTCTTCATTCATAGTTTTGTGCTGGACAGAGTTGGCGTTGCCAGACTTAGCATTCATCATTAATGCAAAATGCATTGCAGGGTAAACAACATGGCGACATCTGTGTGACAATATTCTATTTACATTCATTCAAATTAATAGCTTTCAGTAATTTTTCTGTTTTGGATTTACATTGAAAATAAATGTTTCTCAAATAAAGTCTGTTGTCACAGCTAATCGTGAAACCCTTTAAGATAACTCGATAACACCTTGTTATCTACTTTTAATAAAGGAGATGAACATACAACCCTTGGCATCAAAATAGACAGGTAAATGTATGTGTTTAGTTTTTATTTTATTTTAAGATTTTGCAGGCAAGTTTTGGCAACTAAATTCCTTTATACTTCTAAAATTTGGGAAAAGCTTACAGTAAGTAACCAGTTTGTGCTAATGACTGTCTGGACTTAGGGACTGAATGACCAGTGGAGCTGCACCCTCCCCTGGTCAGCTTAGCTGCTACTATCTGGTGGCCACCACTTCATGACGGACACTATATGCTCCCTGCATCTTAACAGATGCTTCTGCATCTGAGAGTCTACCAATAACCCACAGTTACTGATCATGATGTCAAAACCTACTCAAACATTTGTCACATGATCAGGATTTTCCCTGACTTCAATGCACTCTATCTCCTCTCTTTCCCTCTCCCTCTCTCGTTCCCTCTCCCGCTCTTTCCGCTTTGCCCTCTTTTTTTTCTTGTGCCTCTTTTTGGATGGTGGAAAGAAAGTCAGGAATACGGGCAAGATGACGAAACAGTGCAGCAGGGTGCATCCCGCCGTGAGTAGGGAGCACTTGAACAGCGTGTAGGTCAGATTGGAAGGCACAAACACCAGAGGCATGATCCCGATCAAAAAGCAGGATGTGTTCTGCAGGATCGCCGCCCCGTGCTCCTCCAGTGCCAGCTTGATGCACTGCGTCCTGGTGTGCTCAGTGGCCAACACAAAAGTGTACAGGTGTGGTGCACAGTGATCCATAGCGAAGTTGAGTGTATAAATAAGGCACAGGATTGAGATGCTGTCCATGCCAACATTCCAGAGGGTCATCAATCCCAAAACACCCAGCTCCACGGACGTAACCGTGAGAATGAGCCAGAAGTTTCCCAAAGGGTTAATGACTAGGAAGAATGTAAGAATAAGGATGGTAAGTACGCTGAAGCCTGAGGTCAAGATTGGTGAGATGACAGAGGAACTGTAGCGGTCCATGAACACAAATGTGGGATTGAAGGCAATGAATTTGATGCTGTTGATTAGCATCAAGGGACGAAGTTTTTCCAAGAGCTCCACCACCTCTTCCCTCTTCTTCTCTGTGGTCCGTGCCACCAAGTACATCCGTGAGGCGATGATGTCGTACTCGTCAGTTTCGCGGTTTTTAGAGAAGATTATGTCCTCTGTAAAGTGCTGGTACTCTGGACTGCGCAAGAAAGAACCCTTCAGGATGTTGATAAAGTCACTCTTAGTTGATGCACTGACATTCACTACCCGGAGGTAATGGAAAAAGTTGTCCATCCAGGACATCTTGTTGAAGCCATGGCTTAGAGTCTTTAGGTGCTCCTGCACAGTGGAGTTCCAATACTCAATAGGCTCATAGATATAAAACCCAATTACAGGGCTGTAATTACTAAAGTACTTCTGCTGGGTAGCAGCAAACGAAACGCTTGGTGAATTACTGGCCAGCAGGTTCACTATATTCGACCCATCACTGATCTGTAAACATCCCATGAAGGAAAAAGAAGCATAGATGAGATATAGAATGACCACAAAAGGTTTCACATATGTGTTGGTAATCCACTCAGTGTAATGTTCACGTAGGAAGTGCTGGATGAAGTGATTTTGGTATGGCACACTGTCATGGTGCGTGGACAGGTCATGGCCGTCACTCATCATGGTTTTAAACCAAGTCGGCTGGCGGTCCAAATATTCTACTGACGGGATCTTACAACAGAAAACACTGTGGTATCGGTTCTGCTCGAGCTGTCCAGCAAACACCAAGCAAGAGCCATAAAAAGAAAAAACATAAAAGTAGTTGACCAAGATGGCAACACACATGCTCTGGCAGAAGATTTTCACAGACTCAATGTTGGTGAAAGGGCTAGCTCCCATGCCAAAGGTGATGATGTAGAGTGAGCTCGTCATGGTGTAGCACACCATCACATCTGCAAAGGCGTCAGCCACACGCTCCTTGAATGGCAGGTTTTCCCTTGTTCTCCTCCACCCTGCCAGAAGTTCAAACACCCCTTTGGTTCCATGACCTATAGCAGAAAACAGAAACAAATGTTATGATGTGAAAAGAGATTAAGGATAATTACAAGTGTTTAGATGATTCCAAGCCACTAAGAAACACATAACAAACCAAACCAGACATATTTCTAGACTTCTGTATTGATCTTGGAATAGTAGAAACATATATATGGCGTCACAATTATTTCAAAATGCCTGTGAGAAAAATAAACATACTCCCGTGTATGCCAAACTACTTGTGCTCATGGTTTATCTACCATTGCGCCACAAAATCACAGTTGCACGAGAAACTGCCACTTTGAGAGGAGAAAATCTCTCTCTGTGCATGACAGTTCCTCCCAAATGTGCTTGGGATCGTGCAAGGGATCTAACTGTGCGCATGGTTTTCTATCCAGAGGCCATGCTTAAAGATGCCTGCGCTCTCGAAAGCGTCTGTCCTCGGACAGATTTTCTCTTCGCGCAAAGGAAATGTGTTTTGACAGGTTGGGTGGAGATAAACCACTTTTGTAAGCCTCCTGATTGGGCCTTGCAGACATGATCACACTAGAAGTGGTGTCAGGAAGCCTTTGACTGACAGCTTGTAGACGATGACTCGAGAAGACCCTGGGGTAAGTGGTAAGTGTCCGTCAAAGGCTTCTGACACTATTTCCTGTGTGATTGTATCTGCAAGGCCCAATCAGGAGGAGGCTTGCAGAAGAGGTTTGTCTCCACCCAACCTGTCAAAACATAAAACCGAGGACAGAGACGTAGTCAAAACCGAGGACATGGACGCTTTCGAGAGCACACGCATCCTCCAGGCTGGCTGCTGGATAGAAAATCGTACACACGGTGAGATCCACACCACGATCCCGATCGTGCAGAGAGCAACTTTCTCTTCTTGAAGGGGCAGTTTTTCGCACATGTGTGATTTGGTTGTGCGGTGGCATTTTAACAACATGCAGAAGTAGTTTAACATACAGGCAAGTATGTTTATTTTACTCAAGGGCATTTTGAAATAAATGTGACACTGTAGATATATTTTGACACTAAAATCAAAAGCAACATTTAGTACAGTACTGTGCATGCTAACCAGGACATATTTTTCTAAATCTCAGATTTTATACTTAATTTACAACTCCTGGGGACACAAAAAAACAGTTTTTTTTTTATCCGTAGCTACACTGCGTTCAGCCTGAGCCTGAGGTTAAGAAGTACATGTACGTCATATGGGTAGGAGGCTCACATCTATACACTGAAACATGAAACCATTGTTATAGGATTTATCTACTTAGGAACTAAGTTTCAAAAAATGATTTAATCCATTTGGATGTACAGGTGAAATGAAAAAAATACTTTTGCTTTTACACCTAACCTCATCTCCATGTGTATTGGGCCTAAAGCCCTGGTCACACTGGTTTGCATATGACTTTTTTGATTTTTGATTTGATTTTTTTCCATGACACATTGACGGCATATAGAGATGCTCCGAATATGCTGGGTGAGCAGATCTGTTCCAACATTGACTTGGACAGATTATGAAAAGATATTAAAAGTTAATTGAATAAAAACCACATAATAAAGAGGAAATATTGGATAAGTGAGTGGATGATTTGTACAGTTTTCTTTAATCTTGTGTTTAATTACCTCACTTACAATCTATACATACTTTTTTCTTTATCTTTAACTAAAATTAAATAACGATCTCATAAGATCTTTTGTAAGCATCTTCGCTACATTCGTCAACATTGCCTTTTCTCTTTCTACATGAGGTGTGATTGTACTTATTATTATGCAACACAGCCCAAATCCGTCTTCGTGAGGCCCATTCACTGGAATCAAATCTGTGGGTTTTTCAACCATCAAAAATACAGACAGAAAAACATGGCATACAAAGGCACAGTGCAAAACCACCCACACTGGAACACCCGCTCACCCACACACTGTGCCACTGTTTGAAAAATGCAAAAGCCACATGGCTGGGAGTAAATGTGCTTCAGCAGGAAATTGTGAATGCACCAACAACTCCATGTTCCTGGACTGCATAAATATTTCAATACCGTGAATAACACATTTGGCTCATCCATATCATAAGAGTAAAATGTGCCTGTATAAAGCTAGCAGACAGGGAGGTGGGATTACTACCCTTGACAGCGTTCTAAATTTCCCTTGTTTGACACAGAGGGAAAAAAAGTTAATTAACTATAAAGGATTAAGCCTATGTAATGAGTCAGCTAGATTACTCTTCCTGCTTTTAGTTTTATTAAGCTTTCCTGCAAGTCAATTAGTTAGTGTCACTTGTTTTAGAGGGAATAGAGAGAAGGAAAAAACCTCACCACTGTTTTTTACAGCCACTCACAAGGGGTCTCTGCAAACACCAGCAGTCTTTTTTCTTTACTATGATTACCTGACAGGATGTAAGGAAGCGTCTCATTTTTGTTGACAAGACTGAAAAGCTTTTGAATTAATTACGCTGCTTGATTGCAGGCAGGTGGAGGAGAATCTCAAACAGCAGACCATCTGGTAAAGAATCCCTGGTTAATGTCACCACTAATACAAATTGCTATTACTGTTGATTGTTTTGTTATAATTATGCAAATTAGGTAGTGTCTCTAATATATTTAGAGATTATATGTGTGTATTAAAGGTATAGGGGAGGATTACACAGAAGTTTTGAAAAGAACCACCCTCTCCACTTAAAAAAAAAAAAAAAAAAAAAACGCACATGCACAACCCTGTATATGCTCCTGAAATGGAACACCTATTAAACGTATGCAAGAGCATGCACGGGCCCATTTCTCCTTGTGCACACCTTTTTAAAAAGTTGCTGTTCAATTGTACAAGCTTACTTTCCAAAAGAAGATCTGCAATCTTTCCACTGGGTCAGACTCACCACCGGTAAGAAAAAATGTATTCACGACAAGCAAACCTGTTAAAGGCGAGCTTCAATGACTGGCTGAAATAGTAGCTCACCACTCATTCACTCCTGAAAGTGCACCAAAAAACATAGCTTCCTTGGGACGAGAATGTATAATGGCCTTATGTAAACATATCACTACAATGATTGACAATTAGGAGGACCACTTATTTTGATGATCCACCTGGAAAAAGAACATCGACCCCTATACATTCTAAAGCAAGACATCCCAAATAAAGAAAAATTTAATAAAAAAAAAAAAGTACGATTTTGGCTAACTCTAAACGTCATTCAAGCAGGAAATGTGGGTGAATTTTTTGAAAGCCATAGGACTTATGACTAGGCTTGAAAACTAAAAAAAAATTAAATAAACTATTGATAATAAATGTGGTTCAGGTTACCATGAAGTTTTTGTAGTTACACTGCTATAAGGTTAGGCTGCTGGAGGACATCAGGACCAGTTTTCTTTATTATTCTGCTCACATCTGGGCGACACTAGGGTCAGATACAGTGGATTGCCACCAACCGAAGGATCGTCAGTTCAAGCCCCACCTCTGGCTTTCAGTGTCTTGCGCTGTTAGGCAAGACAGTTCACCCCACCTTGCCTACTGATGGTGGTGAGACAGGCTAGTGGAGCCTATATTAGGCAGCCTCGCTTCTGTTAGGGAACCCCATTGCAGCTGTTGCCACCATCAGTATGTGGGTGAATGAATGGGTGAAAGCCCTTTAAAGTGGTTTGGTCAAGCTATACAAATACAGGCCATTTACTATTTTACTTCTATTCTCACATTTTCCTTTATTTGTTACATCCAACTCTAACTTTACGTTGTCTCTAAATTTTCTGATCAAAATAGCTTCATTTGGTCTGGTTCTGTTTAGCTGTGACACCATTCTGGATTTATTATCATACATTAATAAATAGGAGTTTGCTTTTATTTGTTTAATTTCTCTTTCTGTAGTCAACATTGGCATGTTATTTTTTGTTTCTTCTCCTTTTCAAAATGTTTTACATAATATAATAAAGTGAAAAGAAAAAGAAAAAGAAAAAAGGGATTCCATTTAAAAAAGGGGAACATAAAAACATTTTGGGATCTTAAAGAGATCATATAAAAAATACAAAAATACAGGCAGAGGCAAAAACAGGGAGAGAGGAAATAAAATAAATACAGACTGAACCTATAAAAAGTAATATTAATTTTTCAACTCTTGCCATAAGACGCATCAGAGGGCGGGGGTGGGGGCGTTGTTACAGAGAGACATGGGAGGGACATTTGGCAAAGGTCAAGGGGTCAGCACTTGAACCCATGACAAGACAGGATGTCTCTTTTTATTATGCATGTGGATGTGTTTGCTTGACGCTCATTCTTGCCTGGAAGAAGATCATTTTACTTAACAATTTATCAAATTGAGTTTAAATTATAATGGCTTACATAAACCTGGACCTTAAATAATTTAGCTGATACTAAAGAAAATCAATTTAAAAACTTGTGCGTAGTGTATGATAAACAAAAGCAAAGGGTAAAAGTTGGCAGGAATCCTCTTAATACTGAACAAGTATATTCCTGTTATTTTCTGCACTTCACAATGTTATACTACAAAACTAGACAAGCATTTCTATAATTTTTGGTGAATAACTTTAATTTCTACAATCTCATGACCTAAAAGACATAAGAATCCACAGTGATCGAAAAGAAAGGAGTCTGATTGTAGTCAGTCAGAGAAACAAATGTATTAATCTAACTAAAAAGCACTCTTTTCTAAATGTTGCATGCAGACAACAGTATTTTTAAAAGGAATTACCAAATAACAAACCAATATGTGGATTTCTTTTAACCTATATGCTTTTTTCTCATGATGATAGATATCTCACAAAAGTTTATTTTTTTATTTAGTTGTATCTTCAAGGTTACAAGCTCAAAAAATCCTGATCTTTTGTACTTAAGGGATGTAATGTGCTGGGGATGAATCTGAGTTACTATGGCAACGGGGATGCTATGAGTTAATATGCTGTGAATGAAAATGCTTTATTTGTTCACAGCTACTTATTTCATTCACCACAAATCTTGGATCTTACATCAAAATGGTTAAACTCATTTTCTGTCTGTATCGAGAAAAGCA